CATGTTGAATGTTCTTAGAACATTAAAAACCCCAACAGTTTCCAAGAAAAAATGCATCGATAGATTGCCATGTTAGTTTCTGTCAGTTAGAAAATATATCACTGCTAAATATATTCAGTTTGGTTTTTCATACATTTAGGGGAGAAAGACCTCAATGTGAAGAAAAACAAGAACTTTTCATGCAAATGCTAATGTACATACTGGACTTTAGAGTAGAAACCGCGTACTCTAAACTAGAGCAAGTTTATCTGAGCTGACGTCTCCAAGACCTGAAAACCCTACCTTGCACAATCTATTTTAATGTTTTCAATCACTTTCACTGAAAATGTTTAGAAAAGTCTTGACGCTGTTACTACCTGTAATCAACCTTTTCCCCAGTGTAAATATGACTGTACACTGGAATCCAAATAATGAATATCTGATCGTTTTGTGTGGTGCAGTCCATTGGTTATGTTCCAGGTTTTTTCCAGCTTGAGAGATTTTGAATTAGACCTCCAGTGAATTGTTGACAAATTAAATGACTGATAAAATGGCTAGTATTTACTGTATGCTCAAAATTATTCATGCAGTAGCATGTGGTACCAGGAAACCTTTTCTTCTTTAGTCTGCAAATACTTACTTTTTGCAGATGCATGTCTAAAACTGAAAAACCCCCAAACCAGTTGTAGGCAGCTTTTTTTCTTGCTAGTTTCCATGCCAATAGTTATTATAAAATATTTTCTTAGTAATTTCATTTATGTTTTTCTCTCTAACACTGATTTCCAAAGCTTGTTGCCTTTCAAGATAATTTAATATGACATATTAATTTGAATTAGAAGAGAATTTTGAAAACCTGTCCTGTAATGGACTGAACCTAATGTTGCAACTGTAGGGATAGTTATTAAAAGGGGTCCATGACCAACCAATTACATTAATTCTAATGGTGATACTTGGAGAAGAAAAGCAAGCAAGCAAGCAAGAAGGAAGGAAAGAAGGAAAGAAAGAAGGAAAGAAGGAAGGAAGGAAGGAAAGAAAGGAAGGAAGGAAGGAAGGAAGGAAGGAAGGAAGGAAGGAAGGAAGGA